CCGGGCGGCCGGTGGCGCGCGGTGTCCCGCCGGTGTCCCGCCGGTGTCCCGTCGGTGTCCCGTCGGTGTCCCGATGATGATGATGTTGATGCTGATTATGATGATGATTATGATGATGATGGTAATGATGATGATGAGATGATGTTGATGATGGCGATGATGATGATGATGATGTTGATGTTGATGATGATGATGATGATGATGATGATGATGATGATGATGATGATGACGTCGATAGTGATATCGATTGTGAGATCGGTACATGAGCTATGATGGCGGTACATCGGTCTCGACCGCCGAAGGGCAGCCGTTGAGCAATATTTTGAAGCGATTTAGTCAGTGGCGACAAGAGGGGCTTCAGCAGGCCTCCGACAAAAAAATCTCCACTGGTATCGTCAGGAGAACAATCACCACTGTTGCCCATTGCTCGGCCCCTCCACCCCCCCCAACCTCCTTATCACCCGTAGGGTGGTCGTATAGGTAGGACTATCGGGTTTTCGGAGGTGAGGGGGTGAGATCGATGTGGAATGGAGAACCCTCCTACCGAGAAATCAATTTCAATTTCGTGTTCGTGCATGCCGTGCGTGCAGACGAGGCGAAGCTGCGTGGGCGGGCGAGAAATAATAAGTCTCCTGAAGCTGAGGCGCGGCTGGACCAAAAGTCTCCCTTCCGGCAACTGGTGCCCCGCGGTGTCCCGCCGGTGTCCCGCTCGGGGGCCAGTGGCGCGCGGTGTCCCGCCGGTGTCCCGCCGGTGTCCCGTCGATGATGATGATGATGATGATGATGATGATGATGATGATGATGATGATGATGATGATAATGATTAAGATTATGATGATGATGATGATGATGTGGATGATCTTGACGATGATGATGATGATGATGATGATGATGGTGATGGTGGTAATGATGATGGTGTCCCGATGATGTTGATGATGTGGACGATGTTGATGATCATGATGATGAAGGTGATGATGGTGATGATGATGGTGCCCCGATGATGATGATGCTGATGATGATTATGTTGATGATGATGCTGCTGATGATGGCGATGATGATGATGGTGCCCCGATGATGATGATGATGATGATGATGATGATGATGATGATGATGATGTTGATGATCATGATAATGTTGATGATGATCAGATGATTTGTTGATGATGATGAAGGTGAAGATGACGATGGTGTCCCAATGATGATGATGAGGTTGATGCTGATGCTGTTGATGATGCTGGTGATGATGATGGTGTCCCGATGATGATGATGATGATGATGATGATGATGATGATGATGCTGACGATGCTGGTGCCCCGATGATGATGATGTTGATGATGAGGATGATGATGAGGTGACGATGATGAGTTTAATGATGGTGGCCCAATGATGGTGATGATGATGCTGATGTTGATGATGATGATGGTGTCCCGATGATGTTGACGATGATGATGGTGGTGATGGTGACGATGATGATGGTGTTCCGATGATGATGACAATGTTGATGATGATGATGCTGCTAATGATGACGATGATGGTGTCCCGATGATGATGGTGATGATGATGATGTTGATGATGTTGTTCATGATCATGATGATGAGATGATGATGATGGTGTTCCGATGATGATGATGATGATGATGATGATGATGATGATGGTGTCCCGATGATGATACTGTTGATGATGATGATGATGGTGACGATGATGGTGTCCCGATGATGATGATGATGATGATGATGGTGATGCTAATGATGCTGATGATGATGGTAATGAGGTGATGATGATGATGATGGTGTCCCGATGATGCTGATGATGATGCTGATGACGTTGATGACGATGGTGTTGATGATGATGACCTTGATTGTGATATCGATTGTGATATCGCTAGTGAGACCGATAGTTAGACCGAATGTGAGATCGATTGTGAAATCGATTGCGCGATCGATAGCCAGATCAATTGTGAGATCGATCGAATGAAATAGATCGAGTGAGATCGATTGTGAGATCGATCGAGTGAGATCGATCGAGCGAGACCGATAGTGAGATCGATAGTGTGATCGATAGTGAGACCGATCGAGTGAGACGTTGGTTCCTCACCCCCGAACCTCCTTATCACCCGAAGGGTGGTCGTATAGGTAGGGTTACAGGGCTATGGGGCTATGGGGCCATGTAGCTATTGAGCTATAGGGCCATAGGGCCATCCATGGGGCTATAGGGCTGTAGGACCATAGAGCTACAGGAATATAGGGATATAGGGCTGTAGGGCTATAGGGCTATAGAAATATAGAGCTGTAGAGGTATAGGGCTATAGGGCTATAGGGCTATAGAGCTATAGGGCTATAAGGCTATAGGGCTATAAAGCTGTAGGGATATAGGGCTATAGGGCTATAAGACTATAGGGCTATAAAGCTGTAGGGATACAGGGCTATGGGGCTATGGGGCTATAGGACTATATGGCTGTAGGGCTATAGAGCTATAGAGCTATAGGGTCATATGGTCATAGGGCTATAGGGCTGTAGGGCTGTAAGGCTCTAGGGCTCTAGGGCTCTAGGGCTCTAGGGCTCTAGGGCTCTAGGGCTCTAGGGCTATAGGACTATAGGGTTATAGGGCCATAGGGCCATAGGGCTATTGGGCTATGGGGCGATAAGACTATGGCTTTATAGGGCTATGGGGCCACAGGGCTATAGGGCTACAGGGCTATAGGGCACCCGGGCACCGGGGCACTCGGGCACCCAGGCACCAGGGCGGGCCGCGGAAATCGGTGGCAAACCTCATCTTACCACATGAATCCGCAAGGACTCCTACCGAGGCAAACTCTGAGTGGACAACATACCTACAATGCTCCGTAGATCTACTCGGGAGCGACCAAGAGGGGGGTGTCCAAGAGGGGGGGTGCAAATCATGACCGGCGGCATGTGCGCGGCCCAGCCGAGGGCCAGGGACGTAATGAAATAAGAAGAGGCGCCATGAAATCTGGGGAAAAATCATGGCCCGCGCCATGAAATCTACCCCCACTAGTCATCATCCCCCTCTTTTCCGCTCCCGATCTACGTACTACTCTACGCAATTGTCTCGTGGGTTCGACGAGACCATTAGTCCTGGGGTAAATCCAATCTGTAGTCGGTCCCCTACTCGAGGTTAGGGAGGATAGATGGAGGAAAGTGGGGGGGCTGGCTCATCGGGAGCGGCCAAGAGGGGGGTGTCCAAGAGGGGGGGGTGCAAATCATGACCGGCGGCATGTGCGCGGCCCAGCGGGGGGCCAGGGACGTAATGAAAGAAGAAGAGGCGCCATGAAATCTGGGGTATCATTGCCCACGCCATGATATCCACCCCCCCCTACTCATCACCCCCCCTCTTTTCCGCCCCCGAGCTCAGGGGGGGGAGAAATCGAGCTTGAATGGGCGATACACCGCCGATGCATCGGCGGCACACCCCCGACGGCGGGCGTCTTCGCACGCTCCTGGGCGGGGTGGCCAACCGGGCCCCTAGCGGTGATGAGTGGGCTACTTGGGGGTCGATGCCTGCGCCCCCCCTCCGCCCCTGAGAGGTGGAGTCGGCCGAAGGGGCAGGGGAAAACAAACCTCCCTCGCTTTTGACCACCCTCGCTTCCAAGAGATACCAAACGATGCCAAATTGCAGCCTGTACTGATCAGGCCGCTTGACGAGGAGGCGCGTGGTATGGCTTGGTTTTGCCTGGAAGCGAAAGCGGGGTAGGTAATTCACGCTCGGTATCGCATCGAATGGGAACGTGCGTCTGCGGCGGATCGGGCAGCATCGGCACGGCGCCGAAGCCACAGCGGACCAGCCGCGCCGGGATATGCGCCACGACGCCGTGCCGCACATATCGGGCCGCGCCGGGCTGTCGCAATGCCAGAACCGCATCGGACCAGGCCCGGACCGACCTCGGCATCGGCTCGGATCGATCTCTGGGCAAATCTACGGGGTACCGGCACCGCTACAGTGGAGGTCAGTCCACAACAAACCTTCCACGAGAAACCCAACCCTGAGACCCCAGGTCGTCCCTTGATTTTTGGTGTCGGAACGTCACGCTTTCCATCGCAAAACCATCGAAACCCATGAAACCTAGGGCATCTGGTATGGGCCTCCACTGTGATCCTGGGAGGCGTAGCCAGCATTGGCGACGAGGCCGCAAAAAAGACGAGAACCAGGCAGAGGACCGCCGAGGAGCAACGAAAACGTCGTTGAAGCCCTGCAGCCTCGAACACCTCAAGCTTGAAGCTCGCACGAAGAGCTCCAACGTCCTCCTCTGACGATCGGATCAGGGCGGGAGCGCCCCCCTACAGGCGGATTCTGGGCGAAAAACTAAACATGTTTAACCCAATACTCCAGATTTCGTAATAAAGGGAGGGGGGCCTCATTTCGGGGGGGTCTCTTCCAGGCTATCTTGGAGGCCCTGGGGTGTCTGGGGACGATGTTTTGGAGGGTTCTCCCACGGGGGAGGTCTGAAATGGCTTGTCTTGGAGGGTCCAGACCCCCTCCCTTTTATTACGACATCTGGAGTACCAAGAAAAGCTCAAAAAGAAGAGAGAGAGAGAGAGAGAGAGATCGTCCCAAGACTATTTCTGAAGATGCCTCCGGCATATAGAGGGGCGCGCCCGACTTCACGATCGGACCGGAGTGGGCCCCGGGCTGCGGCGGGCGCCCCCGCGCCCTACCGGCCTCGACCGTGTCCCTACCCCTAAGACTGACACGCCAAGAGGCGACGACAACCTTAGGGATCCGCCCTCAAAAAATAAGGGAATCCCTAAGATTGACACGCCGAAAGGCGATGACAACCTCAGGGATTCGCCCTCAAAAAAGAAGGGAACCCCTAAGATTGGCATCGTGACGAGGAGGTGCCCAGCACAGGGATAGGGATCTGCTCCAGGCTGGCAAAGCGCGACGGCAGCAGCGTGGCCGCGGCCGCGCGGGCGGCGCCGCGAGAGGCTCCCCCGGCGCCCCGCGGCGCGGCCGCCGCCCCGCGGCGCGGGCGGCGGTCCGCGCCTGGTGCCTGTCGCGCTCTATGTGTATGCGGCAGCCGCTCTCCTCGGGGCGGCGGGGCCCTCCCGGGGCGAGGATCCGCCGTGGAGCACACGGCGAACCACCCGGCGAGCTGGGCGGCGGGGAGAGGAGGAGGAGGAGGAAAGAGAGGAGGAGGAGGAGGAGGAAAGAGAGGAGGAGGAGGAGGAGGAGGAGGAGGAGGAAAGAGAGGAGGAGGAGGGGGAGGGGAGGAGGGAGAGGAGGAGGAGGAAGGAGAGGAGGGAGGCCCCTCCCCCCCGGGGGCCGCCGCGCCGCGCGGCGAGCCCCCGGGGGCGGCAGCGGGAGGGGGCGGGGCCGCTCCGCGGCGGCGGGGCCCCGCAGAGAAACCCCTGCGCCCCGCGGGGGGGGCTGGGCGCGGGGAGGCCGGCCGGCCTCTCCAGAAGGCCGCGGGGAGCTGCCGAGAGGCCAGGCCCTGAACCTCGGGGGGGCTATAGAGCTATAGAGCTATAGGGTCATATGGTCATAGGGCTATAGGGCTGTAGGGCTGTAAGGCTCTAGGGCTCTAGGGCTCTAGGGCTCTAGGGCTCTAGGGCTCTAGGGCTCTAGGGCTATAGGACTATAGGGTTATAGGGCCATAGGGCCATAGGGCTATTGGGCTATGGGGCGATAAGACTATGGCTTTATAGGGCTATGGGGCCGTAGGGCTATAGGGCTACAGGGCTATAGGGCACCCGGGCACCCGGGCACTCGGGCACCCAGGCACCAGGGCGGGCCGCGGAAATCGGTGGCAAACCTCATCTTACCACATGAATCCGCAAGGACTCCTACCGAGGCAAACTCTGAGTGGACAACATACCTACAATGCTCCGTAGATCTACTCGGGAGCGACCAAGAGGGGGGTGTCCAAGAGGGGGGGGTGCAAATCATGACCGGCGGCATGTGCGCGGCCCAGCGGGGGGGCCAGGGACGTAATGAAATAAGAAGAGGCGCCATGAAATCTGGGGAAAAATCATGGCCCGCGCCATGAAATCCACCCCCACCAGTCATCATCCCCCTCTTTTCCGCTCCCGATCTACGTACTACTCTACGCAATTGTCTCGTGGGTTCGACGAGACCATTAGTCCTGTGGTAAATCCAATCTGTAGTCGGTCCCCTACTCCAGGTTAGGGAGGATAGATGGAGGAAAGTGGGGGAGGCTGGCTCATCGGGAGCGGCCAAGAGGGGGGTGTCCAGGACGGGGGGGGTGCACATCATGACCGGCGGCATGTGCGCGGCCCGGCGGAGGGGGCCAGGGACGTCATGACATAAGAAGAGGCGCCGTGAAATCTGGGGAAATATCATGGCCCACGCCATGATATCCACACACCTCTAGTCATCACCACCCCTCTTTTCCGCCCCCGAGCTCAGGGGGGGGGGGAAATCGAGCTTGAATGGGCGATACACCGCCGATGCATCGGCGGCACACCCCCGACGGCGGGCGTCTTCGCACGCTCCTGGGCGGGGTGGCCAACCGGGCCCCTAGCGGTGATGAGTGGGCTACTTGGGGGTCGATGCCTGCGCCCCCCCTCCGCCCCTGAGAGGTGGAGTCGGCCGAAGGGGCAGGGGAAAACAAACCTCCCTCGCTTTTGACCACCCTCGCTTCGAAGAGATACCAAACGATGCCAAATTGCAGCCTGTACTGATCAGGCCGCTTGACGAGGAGGCGCGTGGTATGGCTTGGTTTTGCCTGGAAGCGAAAGCGGGGTAGGTAATTCACGCTCGGTATCGCATCGAATGGGAACGTGCGTCTGCGGCTCGGTATCGCATCGATGGGCTACTTGGGGGTCGATGCCCACGCCATGATATCCACACACCTCTAGTCATCACCCCCCCTCCTTTCCGCCCCCGAGAGGGGAAGCGCGAAGAGCATCGAGGGGCCCGGGCCCCCCTCGCGCCGTGACAACAAAAACAAGAAGAAAGAAACAGTAGCCCGACCCGCGGAGGGTCTGTGGCGAGCCTCCCGCTGCCCCTCTTTGACGGCGCGAGCGGGTCTGTGAGAAAAGGCAAACAAAACACACACTGTGGGGGGGAAACAAAAAAACACAACGTGTGGGAAAAAAACACCCACATCTGTGGGAAACACACACACAGCGTGTGCGTGTGTTTTTTTTTCCCACAGTGTGTTTTGTGCTGCTTCCCACAGTGTGTGTGTGTGTGTGTGTGTGCGTGTGTGCGTGTGTGCGTGTGCGTGTGCGTGTGGGTGTGTGTGTGTGCTTGCGTGCGTGCGTGCGTGCGTGCGTGCGTGGGTGCGTGGGTGTGTGCGTTCGTGTTCGTGTTCGTGTTCGTGTTAGTGTTAGTGTTAGTGTTAGTGTTAGTGTCAGTGTATGTGTGTGTTAGTATTAGTGTTAGTGTCAGTATGTGTGTTAGTGTTAGTGTTAGTGTCAGTGTGTGTGTGTTAGTGTTAGTGTTAGTGTCAGTGTGTGTGTTAGTGTCAGTGTCAGTGTCAGTGTTAGTGTGAGTGTGAGTGTGAGTGTTAGTGTTAGTGTTAGTGTTAGTGTTAGTGTGTGTGTGTGTTAGTGTGTGTGTGTGTTAGTGTGTGTGTGTGTGTAAGTGTGTGTGTGTGTGTATTCCCACAGTGTGCGTTTTTTTTTCCCACGGGCGCACACGGCGCGTCAGAACCGCGGCGTCGGAGCGCCGGGTGGGCCGGGGGGAGCCGTGCGAGACAGCAGCGGCCGGCGGCCCAGCGCTGGCCAAGGGGGGCAGGAGCGGCGGCGAGGGCCAGGAGGACGGGGCGAAGGGAGGAGGACAGGGAGGAGGGGCGCGTCCTCCTCGTCATCCGCCAGGCTCCCAACTGCTCTCGTCGTGTTGTGTTTTGCTGATTTGTTCTGTGTATGTATATATATATATATATGTTATAGAAATATTATATAAATATGAATTTCAAAGGGGGAGGGCAGTGTTTGACTTCCAGGAGCCCGCACAAGTGCCCGGAAAGCAAAAAACTACCCAGTGTGAGGAACTAGTCCGCAGAAAAGAATCCAGAGAGCTGAACGCCCTGTTGTAGATGCAAAAAGCTGTAAATGATGTCTGGTAAGGAAGAGGGGCGTTTCCTCCTCATCCTCTTCCGCCTCCTGTTCCTCATCCTCCCCCGTCATCTCCATCGCGCCTTCTCCTACTCCGCCTCCTCCGTCCCCTTCACCCTCCTCCTCTTCCTCATCCTCATCATCCTCCTCCTCCGCGTCATCGCCATCATCACCACAACCATAAGCATCATTGCTTGCGACATCATCACCACCACCACAACCCTCATCATCAGCACCATCACCATCTCCAGTATTGCCAATACCATCATCAAAATCACCATAACCATCACCATCAGCATCGTCATCATCATCACCACCACCATCATTAACCACAACAACAAGTTCAGCACCATCACCATCACCATCAACATCTCCATCCCCATCACAATCATCATCACCACCACCCTCACACCATGACCGCATAAGTCATCACCACCACCGCCACCATCACTATCGCCATCCCCATCGCCATCATCATCATGATCATCAACAGCAGCAGCATCAGCACCATCGCCATCATCAGCATCATCACAACCACAACTATCATCAGCATCATCATCAGCATCATCATTATCATTATCAGCATCATCAATGTCATCGTCATCTTCATCACTACCACCATCATCATCAGCATCATCGTCACCATAATCAGCATCATCACAATCACCATCACCATCATCATCAGAATCATCAGTATCATCATCGTCATCGTCCTCATCGTCGTAATCGTCATCACCATCACCATCGCCATCGCAAACGCCATCACCATCACACAAACCACCACCAGAAAAACCATCATCATCACTATCATCATCACCGTCGCCATCACCATCACAGTCACCGTCAACATCGTCGCTATCATCAATATCATCATCGTCACCAATCACCATCAACAGTATCACGAGCAGCATCAATATCGTCGCCAGCATCATAATCATCGTCATCACCATCATCAGATAACAATCACCATCGCCACCAGCATCACCATCACCAACACTACCAGCATCATCACCATCAGCATTACCATCATCATCACCACCACCACCATCACCATCGTCATCATCGTCATCATCCGCAGCATCATCATCCTCATCATCATCATCATCATTATCATCATCATCATTAACACGATCAGTATCATCAACATCATCATCATCAGCATCATCATCATCATCACCATCAGCATCACCATCATCATACTTAGCAGCAGCATCATCAGCATCATCATCAGCATCATCATCAGCATCATCAGCGTCAACATCATTATCGCATCCTCCCGCCCTCATCCTCCACCCCTCTTCTCCCTCCCCGGCCCCCCCCTTCCTACTCCTTCTCCTGCTCCACGCGGTCGGCGCTGAAACCTGGTGGTGCCCTCGGGAGGGGAGCAACGAAAAGCAGACGGGTGAAGTGCTCAGGGTTTCCGTGCAGTGCGGCGGCGCCTTCGAAAAGCATGCTGGCCCACAGCGACAAGGAGGCTCGTCGCGGTCGAAGCTCTGGAGGGCTACGCGGAAGCCTCCGACGATAGAGGGGAGTGGACCTCCTCCACCTCCTCCTCCTCCTCCTCTTCCTCCTCCTCCTCCTCATCATCATCATCATCATCCTCCTCTATGTTTACAAATGGGAGAACTCAAACAAAAATAAATGTTTCGGACGACCGCGCGGAGTTCTCTGGTCGGGGCTGGACCCCTCTCCCCGACGCGCGGAGCGCGCGAGGGGTGACGCCAGATTTGCGGCCAGGAGGCCCCACCGCAGATCCAAGAAACCGGCGCAGAGCTCCGAAAGTGAACCTTCATCCAAATTCCACAAACAGTGCTTGCACTTCGCCGTCCGTCGCCACCGCTCATCTCGGGACCAAGGGCGGCCGTCGCCGTCCGTGCCGCCCGTCGCTGCCGTCGCCGCCGCCGTCGCAACACCGTCGCCGACGTCGCGCACCGCAGTAGTAGTAGTAGTAGTAGTAGTAGCAGCAGCAGTAGTAGTAGTAGTGGTAGAAATAGTAGTAGTAGT